GCGCAACGTTCCCAACCCCGGCGCCTCCAGCCCCCGCCTCCCAGACCCCCTGCAGCTCCCGAGGGTCAAGGGTCCCTGGAAGAGTGGAGCTTCCCGTGCAGAGCTGGCTTGGGGCCCAGCCGCTTCTCCGTCCAAGAACGGTCCCCGGATGTCCCTCGCTTGTCCCCAGGAATTAGGGAAAAGCCAAGCCCAACCCGCCCCTGCCCCCACCCCCACCAACACACCAGCTAAAGGCTCCGTGGCCTCCCCCAGATGCCCAAAAATGCAGCTCCAACTTCCGGGAAGTTGTGGGTCAGGCCCCCGCGAGCGCCCACTCCTCACTCCACCCCACCCGGCAAAAGGCACGACCAGCAGCCTCCCCCCGCCCGGCCTCCCTCGCATCTCTCCCTGCCCTGCGGAATCCCCGCGTGTTGCCGAGGGCCAGGCCCGGCCCCAGTCATGCCCTGACTACTCCAGGATGGCCGTCGCACGTCCCATTTCACAGGAAAGAAAACCGAGGGTGTTAGCACCCCTCCTCCCTGGTGCCAGGCCTGAGCAAGCTTGGCCCCGCCCACCCCCTGCCTCAGCCCCTCCTCTGAGCAGCCTGGCCCAGGCCACGAGGCCCCAGGGACTGCAGACCCGGCACAGGCTAACAGCACTGGGCAGCAGAGGCCAGGTGGGCTGGACCCACTGTGGCCTGGGCCTCTCTGGGTCTCTTGGAGCCACAGTCATGCTGGCACGTAGGACAGCCGTGGCAAGGGTTCCCCCCTCCCCACGGGGCTCTGGCAGGGGGCACCTCAGATGAGGGCCCCCCATTGCCGAGAGGCCCCAAATTCTGGGTCCATTGCCCTGGAGGGTCCCCTATGACCCAAGGGGCTTCCCACCTCAGCACCCGTCTTCCAGGGCACCTGCTCGGCCTCTGGCCGGCTGAGCCGCCCGCCTCGCCTGGGCGTCCAGGGGCGGGCCAGGCCCACGGCACGGCAGTCAGCTGCCCCTGGGAGCCTGGGGGTCTCGTCTGTAAGTGGGAATGGGGCACACGGGGAGGGGCAGCCCTGCCCCCTGGGATGCTGGCCCGGCCTCTGCCAGCCCCCAGCCTGCAGACTCCCCCGCCCAGGAGGGTGGGGTCCCTGTGGTTGCGTCCCCCTGCTGTGCCCGTGGTGGGCGGGGCCGGTCTCTGGGCCCCCTTCCCGCACACTGCACTGGTTACCACGGAAGCCACGAAGGAGGGTTCGGGGGTGCTCCCGAGTCCGACACCGCTGCCCTCCCGCGCGGCCCAGCTCGGGGCGCGTCCAGGCCAGCTGACCGGCCAGCCCGTGGCAACGTGGCTAGTTAAAAGTTTTATTGATCGAACACAATGGAGTGTGGGTAGTGAAAGTTCTCCTGATGTAACCCACTTTCTCTTAATGGGTGACGGCAGACACTCAAGTTTCCCTGTTAAAGCAGCGTTAGGACAATTTAATAGCTCATAAAACTTTATGGTCCCAGCTGAAGTCAGAGCGATAGCTCCGGCCGCCCAGCGATCGCTCGCCGAGCGTCTCGGGTCTGTCTGCTCGCCCGTTTATTGGGGCATTAGCATCTCCTCGGCTGCGCGCTGGGGGGGGGGGGGGGGGCGCGAGATGTGGCGCTCCCGTCTCCAACACACGAGGCTCGGCGAGCTGGCTGACCCCGGCTTCACCCAACCCCGTGGTGGCAGCCCAGGCAGGCGGCTCTGACCAGGCCACGGCCACACCGTGGGACCAGCCGGGACCCAGGGGAGGCCATTAGGCGTCACGACCTAGTAATTTACGAAGGACCTACTGTGTGCGTGCTCCAGGGACGGGGGCCACGGAGAACCAGGGCAGGGCTCAGCCACCACAGCCACAGCCACAGCCGGTGGGAGGGCGTGGCCCCTCCTTGCCTGGCTCCTGACAGAGGCGGGGCTCAGGCTGGGGGTCCTGGGCTGGGCCGGGTTCCAGGCGTTGAGTGGAAGCGGCGGGAGAACCCGGTCTCCCCATCTGTGAGAGGGGGCCCCACCAGCACCTACGTTGTGCGTGGGGTCGGTGTGTGGCTGCCGAGACGTGGAACCAGAGAGAAAGAGGCTGCTGGGACCCCAGGAAGCCGGACGTGGGCGGCCCCAGCTTCCCCACTCCGAGAAGGGAGGAGCAGCGCCCAGGCAAAGCCAGGGGCACGCAGGTGCAGGGGAGCGGGCACAGGGAGCACCCCGAGGTCCGGCCACGGCTGACCGGGTGACCGGGGCGATGCAGCCGCCCACGGAACCTCAGGAGCCTGGTCAGCACGGCACCGGGGAAGGCCACAGGGTGCGGGGTGGGGGTGGGGGCCAGAGCGGGGTGCAGGGAGGAGCAGCCCTCGCAGGCTGGGGTTGCCTCCTGGGGGATGCGGGTGGGCCCCGGGGGTAGACGAGGTGTGGCTCCGGGTGGGTTTCAGCTCCACAGCATCAGGCCCGACCCGGGGAGGAAATGCATCCTGGGAGCACACGACTCTGACCCAGACCCCACGCACCCTGCGCCCCCTGGGGCAGCGTGGAGCCTGGCGTGGCCAGTGCCCAGCCGACCCGGCCAGCAGGAGGACAGGCAGGCTGGCGCATGCACAGTGCCGAGAAGGCCGAGTTCAAGCGGAGATTCTGGCGGGGTGGGGGTGGGGCGGCACAGGGCATTCGTTACCACAGCTAAGGCAGCTCGGCTCGGCGAGAGGCTACTGCCCGGAGGAAGGCCCACCGTGGCCCAGCAGCCACACACGTGGCCCCTGGGGGGTTAATCTGGGCTCCCAAGTCTCAGCACCGCCCACCCCCGAGAGCGGGCCCTGCCAGCCGCCCCGACCTGGCCCCCTGGGCTTCTGCCTGCGGGGTGGGGGGAGAAAGGACATGGAGAGGCCACAGAACCTTTGTCTCCTGCCACGTGGAGGCACCGGGCGCAGCGGGGCAGCAGCAGGTGCCAGAGGACAAAGGGGGGGAACCACTCGGTGCCGCTGGACTGACCCCGCTGGCCACGGGCGCAGGGTCTGCTCTGGACACCGCAGTGGGGAGACCTCACCTGGCCAGCGAGAAACACGCCCGCCAAGCGGGAGGCACCGAGCATCATGGGAAAGCCTGTGCCTGCCCCCCCACCGCCCCGCCCCCACTCCGTCCCCGTCCTGTGGCCAGAGCTCAGCCCTTCCCGGCCTGCCTGCTCCTGGTCCCCTTTCCTCCAAGGGGCATGTTGCGTGTGTGTGTGTGTGGGGGGGTGTTTGTGTGACCTTCGACCTTCCCAGAGCTGTTTTGAGCTCACAGCCAAGTTCCCAGGAAGACAAAGACCCCTGCACCCCGAGGGGTGACTTCCTGATGCCCCGCCCCCGACGAGAGCCGGCCAGTGAGGACACTGCTGGCCGGGTCATGGGAGTCGCACGCCAGCTCCCGGCTCTGGCTCGAGCCAAGGACAAGCGCCCAGCATCCCCAGCTGGGGTCCAAACCTCGCTCCCTGCCATCCCCTCCCCAGAGCCCCCAGCCACCGCATCCCTGCCTCGTCCCCCTGCCCCCCAGCAGGCGAGGACTGCTTGTTGAGTGACAGGTGAGGGTGGAGGTGGCCGGGCACCGTGACCCACACACCTGAGCCGCTCTGTGACGGCTTCCCATGGGGACAGCCACCCCCGGCCACCGGGGCGGTGCCCCTCCCATCACTGCCGCCCACCCACGCAGTCACTGTCCACACGGCCTCCGTAGCTCCCGTCCGCTTCCCCCGCGGGCAGGCACGAAGACCCTGGAGTGCAGGAGCCGACGCTTGCTAGGAGATCCCAGCAGCTCTGTGTCGGGGGCGGCCGCGACACGCCCGCCACTCTGCAAGGTGGGGCTCCCGCCCCCACTCCGCTGCTGGGGAAACTGAGGCTCCTCCGCGCCCCCCCCCGCCTCCTCCTCCGTCATCGGCTCAGGCACCGCATGGCTTTTCCCTCCCAAGCCTGGTTGCTGCGGATGCAGAATGAAAAATGAGCCAATAACCCGGCAAACCAGAGCAAGTCGGTGCGCGGCGAGGGCGGGGCGCGGTCCCAGCCAGAGTGGACAGGGCACCGAAAGGAGACAGGGCTTGCCCCCAAGGAGACAGCCGGCCCTGCCCCCCTCCAACATTTTTGCTTTTCTGCCCCCGGCTTCTGGGCCTGCCAAACGGGAGTTGGTGAGCGCCGGCGCCCAGAGCGAGAGAGCACCTGGAGCACTGGCACCAGGCACAGCCAAGAACACAGTGCCGCCCCGCTTGTCAGAGGCCGGGCCTGGGCTCTGGGGGCAGGAGGGAGCTGGTGGGAGCTGTGGAACACGGCCCTCCCTGGGAAACGGGGCAGGGCACGGGGAGGCACGCCGAGCTCCCGATCCCGGCGGGGGGCGTCCTGGGAGGGCAGGGGAGGGTTAAAACCGCCTGGGTAGAGACGATGCGCCACCCAGACTACCCCCAGGGCCTCTCCCCGCCCCCACCCACCCCCAGCCTGCGCCCACCAGAAGGAGCCCCGAAGCTGCCAACCACGCCGAGTGGGTGGGCGACAGCCGGGCTGGCAGAGCCCCCTCCCCAGGTCCGCCAGAGGCAGAGGCAGAGGCAGGAGCCACCGCTGGGATGTGGCTCCTGGAACCCAGCTGGACGCCATGGGGGGACTCTGGGCAGCAAAGGGAGGGCCACAGCTTGACCGTGTCAAAGGGCTGGGGTCTCTGAGCCCCGGTGACTCCCTGTGCCGCGGACAGACGGTTCAGAGGGGAGCCCGGCGGTGCCCGCTGTCGTGAGCCCCCACCCGTCTCCCCCGTGTGAGCTCTGAGCTGCTTCTGTTCTGCGTGTTGGTTTTTTTTATCTTTGAAGGCATCAAACTAAGAGTTCCCTGGCTTTTTTAAAAAATATTTTATTATTATTATTTTAAAGCTTTATTTTATGTATTTGAAAGAGTGACAGAGTAGAGACAGAGAGAGAGATTTTCCATCCGCTGGTTCATTCCCCAGATGGCTGCAACGGCAGGAGCTGCGCCGATCCAAAGCCAGGAGCTTCTTCCGGGTCTCCCACGCGGGTGCAGGAGCCCGAGGACCTGGGCCATCTTCTACTGCTTTCCCAGGACGTAGCAGAGAGCCGGATCGGAAGAGGAACAGCCGGGACTAGAACCGGCGCCCATGTGGGATGCCGGAGCTTCAGGCCAGGGCTTTCACCTGCTGCACCACAGCGCCAGCCCCTGTTGGTTTTTTTAAAGCATCGTTTATCTGGAGCATGGAACTCTGGCGCCTGGCACCAGCCCCAGCCCAGCCTGCCCTGTCCACCAGCCTGGCCCCAGCTTCCCCTGGTGGAGCCCGGGAGCCTCTGTGGTCACCCGGGAAGCCCAGCAGGGCTGCTGGCCTCGTCCCAGCCCCGGCAGGTGCTCAGGCGCGGGCCGGGAGCGCTCACCACTGCCTGGCCCGCGCCTCCCCAGGTGAGCCCCGCCCCTGGCGTGTGCACTGCTCTCTGGGCGTTCCAGGCAGCGTCTGCCTTGTTTGGTTTGGAACTCAGCACCCGAGAAAGTCACGCCCCAGAGAAACCAACCCCTCGGGGGTGACCGCCTGGCACACCTGGCCCCGGCGCCACTCCTGCACCTGCAGCTGGGCCGGGTGCTGGGACGTCCCCTTGGCGTTTTATTATTGCTGTCCTGTGTGAGACGTCGCACTGCTGCCTTCACTTCTGGTCACTGAGAGCCACGGGGGCACCTGGCGGCCCCGGCGGGCCCCGTCTCCGGCAGGGCTGCCCCTGGGTGAGCACCTCCCCGGTGGGGCTGGGCGGGCCGCTCCTGCAGGCTGGGCCTCTGTTTCCCGGCTGCAGGTTGTCCTGGCCCCCTGCTGCCCTGTGCGGGGCTGGGGGGGGCAGGGGGGGAGCCTGGGGGCTGCCTGCGCCCTTTGAGGGGAAGGAACCCAGTGACAGCGCCAGTCCAGACTGGACAAGAGAACACACATCGGAGATCGAGGACCACAGCGTTCGGATTCGGGGGCAGAGACCGCCCCGCCCCAGCCCCTGGGTGAGTGAGTGTGTGTGTCAATGCATCTTATGGGGGGCGGCCGAGACAGCCAAGGCGCCCTCCCGCTCCGGGCTGCTGGGATCCTTGCTGAGGGACCCTGGCTGTGCGGGAGGGGCCGTGGTCCCAGCCTTCCAGCCCCAGACGCTCCCGGCCCCTGCTTGGGGGCGGCCACCCGGGCCATTGTCTCCCAGGCTAGGGAAGCCCCAGAGGCAGACCTGGGGGTGGGGCCCCTGGGTCCCAGCTCTCCTGGGCTCTGTGGCAGCAGCAGCCCCAGGTCCAGCGAGGGACAAAGGAAGCGACAGGGCGTGAGGCCCTGCTGGACGCTGTGTCCCGAGCGGTCGGAGGCTGGGGCGGCTTTTGTGTGCGGTCGGTTGGCACCTCTGATGGACGCCCGCTCCTGTAGCCAACCCCATCCCCCCATCCCGAGCCTGGCCCCTTCGGCCATTCCACGGTTCCCCACGCACTGGCCGCCCTGATCCAGCCCGGCTGGCTGGTGCCGGAGTCTCTTCCCGACCGAGTCGTGTCCCCGCAGTAGGGACTGGCGGCCCCTTGGCACCCATCGCCGGGTTGGCCTGGCCAAGTTCTACCGGGTGGTTTCTCCATAGCCCTGCGCGGAAACAAAGCCCCTTGCACCTGGAGCCCCGGGTGCCGGCATCCAGGCCGCCCTGAAGAGTCTGGGGGAGAACACGGCTCGGCCACCAGCTCGGCGCCAGCCCAGCGGCCCCGGCTCCCACACTGGGGCTGCTGAGGCCCCCCGGAGGCTGACTCCCTGTGTCCAGGGCCTTTTGTAGGTGGGGTGGGGAGACCTGGGGTCCTGAGGGGGCCTGGGGGTGGCTGCCGCTCCTCTGACCCCCGCCAGGGCACTGCTCCCTCCCGGCCCCTGTAGCGGGGACTGGAGTGGGAGGTAGCCGGCCGGCCCTGTCTCCTCCCCGACAACTCCAGTCCCTGAGGGCGGGGGCGGCTGGGCCGGGAGGACAGGGTGGAGGTGGGCGGGCGGGGACCGAGCCGCCCGCTGCCCTTGCGTCCCCTCTACCCGCCAGCCTGGAGATCACTCAGGCCCCGATATGATCGCCGTGGGACAGGCGGAAATTGGAACGTCCCCGGTGCTTGATCGAGCCGGGCTGCCAGCCGCGGCCGCAGGGACATTAGAAGCCGGCGTAATGGCCCTCATTCCGCTCCCTCACAGCCCCTTGACCTTGGGCAGCTCGGGAGCCCGGTGCTGTTTTAATGAAAAATCAGGAGTTAGGGAAATGGGCAGGGCTGGTGGGGAGGGCCTGGGGACCCCCGGAGAGACAAAGAAATCCCCACCTCCGGCGTGCTCCAACCAACCGGTGATGAGGGAGTGGAGGGACCCCCACCCCCACCCCCACCAGGGGACCCTCCGGGACCAGGGACCCTCCTCAAACCTCCCACCCAACCCCCACCCAGCCCCCAAACCCACTTGACAGAGCCCTCGGGAGACCGGGGCTGACCACAGCTCTCTGCAGGGAACCAGGCCTGGCTCCCTCCTGAGGGCCCGGCAGGGAGGCCGGACTGGGGTCTGCAGCTCACCGCGCACATGGCGGTGGGTGCTGGGGGCACATGGGGAGTCGGGGCAGGGCCGTGGGTGCTGGCAGGGCGGTGGGTGCTGGGGGGACGCGGGGAGTCGGGGCAGGGCAGTGGGCACTGGGGGGACGTGGGGAGTCGGGGCAGGGCAGTGGGCGCTGGGGTCACGCGGGGAGTCAGGGCAGGGCGGTGGGTGCTGGGGGCACTGGGGGAGTCGGGGCATGGGGGGACACGGGGAGTCGGGGCAGGGCAGTGGGTGCTGGGCAGGGCGGTGGGTGCAGGGGCACGCAGGGAGTCGGGGCAGGATGGTGGGTGCTGGGGGCACCGGGGGAGTCGGGGCAGGGCGGTGGGCGCTGGGGGCACGCAGGGAGTTCGGGGCAGGGTGGTGGGTGCTGGGCAGCGCGGTGGGTGCTGGGGGGACGGCGGGGAGTCGGGGCAGGGCAGTGGGGTGCAGGGGGGCACGCGGGAGTCGGGGCAGGGCGGTGGGTGCAGGGGTCACGCGGGGAGTCGCAGGTTGGTGGGTGCAGGGGGCACCGAGAGTCGGGGCAGGGTGGTGGGTGCTGGGGGCACCGTGGGGGTCGGGGCAGGGCAGTGGGTGCTGGGGGCACGCGGGGAGTCGGGGCAGGGCGGTGGGTGCTGGGGGGACGCGGGGAGTCGGGGCAGGGCGGTGGGTGCTGGGGGCACCGGAGAGGTCGGGGCAGGGTGGTGGGATGCTGGGGGCACCAGGGGATCGGGGCAGGGCGGTGGGGTGCTGGGGGCACACGGGAGTCGGGGGCAGGGCGGTGGGTGCTGGGGGGACGCGGGTAGTCGGGGCAGGGCGGTGGGTGCTGGGGGCACGCGGGAGTCGGGGCAGGGGTGGGTGTGG